TGTCAGGCTGTTGTGGTGAATACAGAACGAGATAAAAGCAAAATATCTTAAGATGGCAACGTTGGAGCAAGAGCAACAGAGGGCAGATGAAAATATGCTGAAGCTTGTGGCAAAACACAAGGTTTGTGCCTTACTATACATTGTTTCACTTGAGGTTTTGAGATACTAATATCTATGACTGTCTTGCTGTGCTGAAAATGGCAAACTGCAGAGGGAGAAAAAGGCTGCTCTAGACGAGATTATCAAGTTAGAGCAGAAACTGGATGCCAAACAGAAATAAAACAGTTGCAGGGAAAATTGGAAGTGATAAAGCATATGCTAGGTGAAGAAGACTCTGAATCAAAGAGGAAAATAAATGAACTTAGTGCTGAGTTTCAGGACAAGTATGATGAAATGGATGCAGTGGAAGCACTCCACCACACTCTGCTTATGAAGGAAAGGATAAGCAACGATGAGTTGCAAGATGCTCGGAAGAAGCTAATAGATGTAAGTTATCTCATCGATTGAGTACTTGCACTTGTCTAGTATTATGTTTGAATTATATTTCAAAGCTATGTATTGCATATGCTGCAGGGTTTGTGGGATGTTACAACTGGCCGAGCAACTATAGGCGTTAAAAGGATGGGTGATCTTGATCTGAAAACATTTGCTAAGGCTTGCAAAGGTAAAATGTCAGAAGAAGACGCAGAAGGTACCACTTCCATTCTTTGTTCAACGTGGGAGGAGGAGATTAAAAATCCAGAATGGCACCCTTTTAAAGTTATCATGGTCGACGGTAGAGAGAAGGTAGTAATATCTTGGCCCTTGCTTTTATACACTTGATGTTCTCCAATAGCTTGTATCTCGAGTTATCAATTTCACATTGAATTTCCTGTTGAGCAAACATTAACACGGTTCATCTATGCATAAGTAAATTGTGGCGAGAGCTGAAAATTGGAGACACCAAGTTTAATTTACTGCCCTGCATATTCTTACATTAATCTAAAGGGGCAAAAGTAGCAGAATATGCAGAAGTTGGTTCTCAGTTTGTAGCTTGCTTAAGTTGGACACGATGTGTCTTGGCTGTTGGAATTTCACATGATGCTTGATACTTGGAGCTCAAAGCCCTCCTACCATCTGCAAACAATGTTTTCCCTGAACTTTCTGCAGCATACTTGTTCCACCACAGGCATGAAAAGGTCCTTACATTCCTGCAAACAATGTCTTGGCTGTTGGAACTTTCTGCAAACAATGTTTTGAAGCTGTTAATGCTGTGTTCATCTTACATTTCTAGAATGGACCAGTAGGTTCCTCTAATTATGGTGTGTGCATTGATGTTAGGAAATTCTCCGCGAGGATGACGAGAAGCTGCGGGAAGTGAAAGAAGAGCACGGCGAGGAAGTGTATGGGTTGGTGACAAAGGCTTTGCTTGAAGGAGAGTCAACGAGTACAACCCTAGCGGGCGCTATTCTGCGCCGGAGCTGTGGAACTAGAAAGAGAAGAGGAAGGCAACCCTGAAAGAAGTGGTCCAGTACGTCCCGAGGCAGTGACGCGCACAGGCACAGAGGCGGGAAGCGCTGAGCCCAAGTATCTAGGTTCCCGAAGCAGTGATCTACTACTACTAGAAGTGCATCAACGTTATTTGGCCATGAATGTCGGTGGACGGTGATGGTTTCGTCGTGGATTATTCGGCCTGGTTGGTTTGTATTGCATTGACTGACATGAATGCTGGTAACTGGAGATTGTGAACTGCCCTGGTAGGATACTGATGTATTTTGCGGCAAGCTATGAAGTATACTATGAATGAATGAATGGCTTGTTGGAAACATGAGCCCAAGTCTGCTATGAATGAATTGCTTGTTGCGGCATGAGAAGCTTTGCAAGCACAGGGTTTCGGCATCTTGTGTCTGTCTGCCTCAGGCTTTCTAGAGATGATTATCTCTGGCCATAGAGCAAATAGGTACAGCCACGGTTAGAACAGCCCACACTGCAAGCACACCTCATGCAAAGACAAGAGTAGCAACTTGAGTTAAACATTACAGAAAGAAAAAAAATCAGGCAACTTGAGGCATTCATGCCCTGTGTGCGTCGAGGGCCTCAGTTGCGAGCTTGTGACTTCTACTGACTCGTAGCAGTAGCAGCACCTATAATTGATGTAACAACAACAAAATACAACCTGATTAGAACGAGTGACGATGCAGTTCAATAGTAACACACACCAAAAGTCAGAGTGTAAGAAAATCAGGCTGCACATTTTAGTCACAACTTCACTTCTTAAAGATACAGCGTAATTTGTGCTAACGGGCAACGCCACGTAACAGTATATAAGATGGCTTACTGGATTCACTAAGCAAGGTAGATTATTCACCTAGAGTTGTCAACTGAAATGCCATACATAGTGTGCTAATAGCCTCACCTCAACGCCTGTGCGGTATCAATTAACAGAAGGTGTCTACACGACAGGAAGCAAGTTGGTTACACAAGCCATCTCATACGAGGATTGGAGGAGTCAAATTTGAAGGGTTGGTTGGACTTGCTCTGTGGTCTGTTGTATAAACAGCTTCCACGGAATCAACCTTAGAAACAAAATTCACAATGCTGGAATACTTGCAACAATATCTTCACCTTGCTATATGCTTGAATTTCTAAAAAGAAGAAGCAAAAACACGATTGCGCTTGCGCCCAAGCCATTCAATACAAAAGAGCATTCACAAATTGCATGCAAAAAATTACTGGAGAAATAAGTTGCCAATAACCCAGCGGCTCCTTCTGCCTGAACTTCCCAACTCAGACTTGTCTTTCTCAGTTACTAGAGAGTGATCTCCACCCACAGTTAAATACAGACCTCTGATGCAAAACAGTGTGCCAACTTAACATCATTACACAACTCACTACAGAACCACAATAGTCCATCAGGTACTCAGCTTAGCTCTCGGGACAGCGTATGCCTGCGTCCATGCACCGCGTGTCAAAGACCTCAGTTGTGACACTTACAAGCTTGCGACGTCTGGTCTCCGGGCCTATAAATGAATTAACAACAAAAGATGAGTGAAGATGTGGTCTAGTAACACAAAGCAGAAGACCTGAGTCAGAGTGTAATAAAGCGAGCGTATATTTCACTGAACACTCAAGGTCTTGGCGATGCATAAATTTTTGTAACAAGTGAGCCAGATTATGTAACAGTATATATGATGAGTTAGTGGGTTCTCTAAGCAAGGTAAATATTCAGGTACTGTAACACTACTTCTAAGGAATAAAACCCATGCTTTACCCCGCAAAAAAAAATAGCATCACTAGAAGTTAACTCGTAGAAACCTGAAATAAACGACGGCGTGGGATCTTATATTAGTAGATAGACAAGGTGTGTACACAACGTGAAGCAACTTGGTACAGCAGCCACAAGGTGCATAAACTAGACATAAAAGGGTGCTTGAAAACTGACAAACAGAGTACTGTGCAGAAAATATGAACATACAAGAAGCAGAGCAATCATACAATAAAATGCGTAGTAGCTTTGTGCAAAGTCAAAACTGAGAAACATGCAACCCTAGCATTATGAATATCAAGGCTCACAGTTGGCCAATTATATCTAGTTGTCATGCAGTTGAAACTTGCAAGATATAGCATCCCCAGAATTCATCTAGCTCAAGCAACCTTGTTACATAGCTGCACATAAAGCTTCATATATCATGATCGAAGAACTCAGAAATCGACCCAGAGTGAAATACTAAAATACACTGCTAGATGGTCATGATAAATCATGATGACAGGCAATATGCAACCAGCAAGTAATAAAACATGCTGCCAGATGGTCATGTTATACAATACCACTACTAGTTACCCCAGCAATTAAAGCTAATCCTTCTAGTAAAATCTGATAACTATCCAATGTTCAGATAACATATGCAGAACAATTCTAGAGCAGTGCACTACATGTAGATACTGGAAAACAATATTACGAACCATGTACCTTGGAATGATTTTAACTGTTGCAAAAGGGTCATCATCAGAAAACTTTGCCCCTCGCTTGAAGGTCCAGCGACTGAGTCCCTCAGGACCGGTGCTCACGTAGAAAAGGACCTCAAATTCACTGGCAAAATTTCCAATTCTCATATTCACCACACTGGATATCATCTCATCCTCGGACCTTGAAGTGAAGCTTGGATTGGCCAACGAAATGACTGCTTGATTTAAAGCATATGTACTCTTGAAGAAGTACCGAAGGAATGAAAGCTCATATTGCTCCCCCCGGAACTCCCTGAATGTCATCACCCTGATGCGCAGCAGCACATTGACGATGGGGCCAGCCTCATCTTCCCAGAACTTGAGGTTGAGCTTGTCAGTGGGTTGATCACATTTTGCAGACTGCAAATTGTTCAACTCAGTGAACATTTCAGGAAGTGATGGATCATGCAGTAGCAGGCAGCAACAGAAAGAAAATGCAAAGCTAGAAAGTACCGTAATATGCAGCGACTCGACATTGGGAAAGCATCCGAGGAAGGCTGGCATCATCTTGATGTCTTTGTGAACTCCAAAACACACATGCAAACTCAGAATTTTGACGGTTGTGAGCATCATGCTTGGGCTCGCCTCCACTCCAGGCTGGAATGCACTCAATTCAACAGAAAAAAAATATCACACATTTATCGGCTTTGCTAGAACTCATCTAGCTGAGTTTTAGTTATGTCTCATTCACTTTTATAGCCATTGGATTGATACTATAAGATGCATACTATAAGATGCGTGTGTGCTGATGTGGTTTGTAGTACTATTTTTATCTGTTTTTGTTTTCAGGTGAATGAGACCAAATTATATCTCATCTAGATGAGTCCTAGGCACTCCCCACATTTATTCACACATGGTTGCCAATCGAACAATGGAAAGATGCGTGGGAACTGAGATAGTATGTACCATGATCACGGTGTCCCCGATCTCTAGAGTATGTTTCCCTGGCTCGAGGTACGCGAACAATTTCAGCTTGGGGGCATTTCCAATCTTCACCCTGGTGCACACGCCGGAGAGGTTCATATCTTCGCACACGATGAGCCGCTCGGCGTTTACCACCTCGGTGCTCTCCATCACGGTCACGGAGGTGCAGACCTGGACGCATCGGAGGCTTTGGCTGACGAGGCGGAGACATTTCCCCCTGAGACTCCCTTGGATGTTGAGGATCTCCAGGACGGGGCTCCTGGCGACGACGGCATCGATGTCCCCGTTCTCCACTTCGACGAGGCAGAGGCCGAGCTCCCGGAGGTGAGGGAAGGAGACGCCGCGGAGGCCGGCCGCGTCCGGGAATTTCCAGACGCCGATGTAGAGGCGGGTAAGGGTGGAGAGGGTGAAGAGCGTGCTGGGGAGGGGCACCTCACGCGGCCACGGGCGATTGACGAGGACGAGCTCCTGGACGCCCTTGGCGGCGAGGAGACGGAGCCAGCGCTTGAGCGCAGCTTGGCGCTCGCCCATGCGGCTGTAGACGAGGCGGACGCAGCGGAAGGGCCCAGGGTGCGAGGCGAGGGCGCGGGAGACGGCGGAGACGACGGCGCCGGCGGATTTTTCGGTGGGGGCCAGGTGCCGTCGGAGAGGTGGGTGTCGATGAGGACGAGAGGCGCAGAGCGCCAGACCCCACGCCAGCGCGTGGCGAGCACGGCGGTGCGGGCGGCGTCCTTGGCCGGGAGGCGGGAGATGATGTCGCGGAGGAGCGCGTCGGGGAGTTCGCTGATGCGGTCTACGCCGTCGGAGGGGGTGGCACGCCGGGCGGTGAGGCGGGCGGTGGTGGAGACGGGCTGGTCCGGAAGGGAGGTGTACAGGACCGATAGGTACTGCTCCATCTTCAGGTCCAGGTAGTCCGCCTCCGTCGCCGGGTCGACATTGGTGGACGCCATGGCCGAAAGGCGAGGGTTTTGTCGCTGGTTTGGACTTTGGACGGAGTGAGTGTGAGGGGCGACGACTGGCGGCGGAATGGTTGTTTGGGTTTTGTAGGGTGATGGCTAGGGTTGCTGGCGGGCCAAATGTCGGAACACGCTTGTTCACGGACCCAGCAGTCGGCGACTCGTTCTGTCTTTTTTTTTTAGAATTATGTGATTAGCACCGACATTAATATTTGATATCATATTAATTATAGACTCAACGGGTTGAGCACGCATCATTGAAGCAATCTGATCGTTCGATTGACGTGGTCTGATGGTCGTGATTAGTTAGATCTGCCCCTTTGACTCTTTTATATTGGTAGTATATGTTAATTATTTATACTAACAAATTTGTTAATTAAATAGTAATCAAGGTGCACTACACCTTAAGTTAAGTTATGCGTAAGGAAAATGTTAAGAACTTCCGCCTGCACTGGAGCGAACATACATGGCATGGCTGCAGTATCAGATACCTCGCACGAATCCTAAAACATTTTACAGTGTGGCACATTTCAGTTTTTGGCACGAGCTAGACGCGAGAGAACGAGACCCCCTTTCATTTCGAGAACCTCCCATTCAATCATTCCCTATTGCCGGACTCCGCCGTCGTCCCTTTCTCTCACGCCTTCGTCATTACCACGGACGATAGCCCTTTCTCCTGTCCGACGGCCCCAAGGAAGACGACGCCAACGCGAACAAGGTCCATCTCTGCCCGCCCTCCTTTTCTCTATCTCGTGTCCATGCCCGCGTGACCCGTCGTCACAGTTGGATGTTGAAGAGCCGCCATGGAAGGTGGATGATGACGAGGAGACGCACATGCGGCAGTGGATGCAGTGGATGATTGGGAGACGTCGCCACGACCAATCTCTGTACCATTGGCACCCATGACTGTGTTGGAAATATGCCCTAGAGACAATAATATTGTATTATTATAATGTCATATTCATAATTAAGAGTTTATATTCTATGTTATAACTTCTATGATCCTGGATTGTGTGATTCGGTGGAAACAACTAGAGTATGATGTTAGAAGAACGATCACATTGAATTGACCCAAACTTGTTTATTATACTTTGAGATACTATTGTCAGAAGTCAATTGTTATAACACGGAGTGTTAATGTGTGTTTTAGTTTCTTAGACCATGAGAGTATCATAGTCACTTCTTTACCGTACAATGATCTTTGGGGTTGCTCAGACTTCATCTGTAACATGGTGATCATAACGCTAACTTACAGGTTCATCGGAAAGTTTGATAAGGGGCTAGATAGCTCGAGAGTGAGATTTGCTTCTCCAATGATGGAGAGATATTCTTAAGGACCTCTCGGTGTGATGGGGTCTAGTACTAGGGTCGTAGTGCCTCCACGACGGATGCTCGTCGGGTGGTCACTTTCATCGAAGGTGATCGGAATTTCCGACCACGGACTGTAGGTTGGTGTTGCTGGCTCCACGGCGTAAACCTCTCGAAGCGCGTGTTTGCGTTCTTCCTCGTTATGTGTGTGGCATAGATCATGTAAGGGCATATTTATCCCTTAGTAGTTTTGGTGATTGATGACAATGCTTTTGCGGACTAATCGTGTGCATTGAGCATTTCAGATATATCATGCCGAAGCACAAGATGATTTGGTGCCCCTCGAAGATTATTGAAGATGACGTTTCTCTATGTTTCTTTTCGGTGGATTTGAGTCGTAGGAAAGCCGTATTATTAAGAGGGGGTCCGCGTTGGAAAGGTTTGGGTGGAATCATCACGTACACGACTGTTCCTTTCTGCACAACCTTTCCTTTGGCTCTTTGGAGCATCCTCCGTTTCTCCGTATCTCTGCAAAAGGAAGGACTCCTAGTGTTGCTGAACTGGAGCATGTGGTAGTACTGCTCCTCAGAGCGGTAGTACCGCAGGCCCCTACGGTAGTATCGGCCACGGGCGCGGTAGTACTGCAGGTGCTCACGGTAGTACCGCTTCTTGGAAGCGGTAGTACCGTGGCCTCAGGCCTGCACAGCGGCACGGGCGGAAGTAGGGGCGGATGTAATTTTTTACATCCACGCTCTGCGCGGTAGTACCGCTCTAGGCTCGCGGTAGTACTGTGTCGGATTTTTGCATAGATCGAAACTCAGCGGAAGTTGCCATGGATGTATTTTTATATGTCCGTGCCTTCCCAGCCTAGACTATTCCTGCCTTGCGGTAGTACCGCGCCAGCGGTTCTACCGCTCTTTGCCTTAACGCTTCAGGACTGGTTTTAGCCCTTGCCGTGCCAGCGATAGTACCGCAGTGCTTGGCGGTAGTACCGCAGGGCCCTTGCGGTAGTACCGCGTGTCTGGTGCGGTAGTACCGCTCGTCTCAAGCTGAGTTGGTGGATAACAGTTGGATTTGTTCTTCCACTATAAAAGGGGAGTCTTCTTCTCCGAGTTGACTACCTCTTCCATCCCCAGGCTCCATTGTTGCTCTAAGCTCCATTTTCCCCCGATCTCTCTCCCTAGCCAATCAAACTCGTTGATTTTCTAGGGATTGGTTGAGAAGGCCCCGATCCACACTTCCACCAAGAGAAATTTGATTCCCCCCACTAATCCCTTACGGATCTTGTTACTCTTGGGTGTTTGAGCACCCTAGACGGTTGAAGTCACCGCAGAGCCATATTCCATTGTGGTGAAGCTTCGTGGTGTCGTTGGGAGCCTCCAATTGAGCTGTGGAGATTGCCCCAACCTTGTTTGTAAAGGTCCGGTTGCCGCCTTCAAGGGCACCAATAGTGGAATCACGGCATCTCGCATTGTGTGAGGGCGTGAGGAGAATACGGTGGCCCTAATGGCTTCTTGGGGAGCATTGTGCCTCTACACCGCTCCAACAGAGACGTACTTCCTCTCAAAGGGAAGGAAATTCGGTAACACGTCCTCGTCTTCACCGGCTCCACTCTTGGTTATCCCGTCACTTTAATCGTGCAAGCTTATCGTGTGTTACATCCCTTGCTTGCTTGTGTACTTATTGTTGTTGCATCATATAGGTTGCTCACCTAGTTGCATATCTAGACAACCTACTTTGATGCAAAGTTTAAATTGGTAAAGAAAAGCTAAAATTGTTAGTTGCCTATTCACCCCCCTCTAGTCAACTATATTGATCCTTTCAATTGGTATCAGAGCCTCATCTCTTTATTAAGGACTTTGCCGTCCGAAGAGTATGGTTGACACCATAGACAGTGAGGAGGAGCACCCCGGTGTGATTCCGTCCTCATCTACGGCCGATGGGGGAAGCACGGTCTCACGTGAGGAGTTCAATGTTGCTTTGGACACATTGAAAACCTCCATGACGGCCAAGGTCAAAGGCATGCTCAAGAACTTTCTTGATGGTCTCAAATTATCCACCGCACCGTTGGAAGTGGTTGATCCCACTAACAAGGTGACGGATGCTAACTTCGACAAGGGGGAACCTACTAGTGAGAAAGTTCCTTCTTCTAGTGGTAGAATTGGTAGTGGCATCTTTGCCCATGTGGAACCTCCACTTACCTATGCAGGACCGATTCCCTCCACTAATTTAAACCATGCCGGTTCTCCTCCTAAGATTGTGAAAAATGAGGATTTTGACACTTGGGTCTATCGCTTTAAACGTCATTTAAATCATGTTAATACTAACCTTTGGAGAATAATTAAGCAAGGTTTCTATCCGCATGACTCAAGTAACTTCACCCCTAGAGAAGCCGCGGATCATTAATTCAACAAGAATGCTCTCTTCATCATCCAAGATGCAATCCCTCTCGAAGATATTGCGCATCTCCGACCATTCACCGTGGCAAAGGAAGCATGGCACCATGTTGTTTCCCTTTACAAGGGAAGCGCAAGCATTCAACGCTCCAACTATGAGGTGGTGCAAGATGAAGCCGATAAATTTTCCATGAATGAAGGTGAAGAACCTCGTGATCTCTACCGGAGACTAACCACACTCACGGTCTCACTCCGAGATCATGGGAGCAAGGATACAAATGAGAATTGGATCAAGCGGAAGTTTCTCAAAGCCGTGATGCCTTTTCATAAGGCCATGTCCTCCGTTATCTATCAAAGGTCGTACTTCCACACCTTGTCCTCAAGTGAAGTGTTGGATGAGTTTGTGGCAATGAGTATCTTGGACAAGACCGCCGACAATGCCGTGTTGCGTTCTCAAAGAGCAAAGAAGCCCAAGCTTGCCTTGAAAGCCAAGGCTAGTGTGGAAAAAGAGGAGGAAGAGGAAGAGGAGGAGAGCAACCCCGAGGATACAAAATATGATTATCATGAGCACATGGCTCTCGCTTCAAGACAATTTTGAAGCAAGAAGAACTCAAGGCCAACTTCAAAAAGAGCAACTCAAGTGGCGCCAAGGGCAAGCAACGTGTGAGAGCTTGCTACAATTGTGGCAATGTGAGCCACTTTGTTGCGGAGTGCCCCTATGAGAAGAGGGAAGACAATGGTGGCAAGCTCATCCGGAAGGACAAGGCCAAGTCTTTCCCCAACAAGAATCACTTCACCAAGAAGACTCGTCCCAAGGGATTGGTGGCACAAGAAGAGTACAATGAGGATGATGATGAATACGGTGAGACGGTTGCCATGGCCTCCGTGGCCATTGCAACAACTCCACGGGCGTCCCTCTTCGACTCATGCAATGAGAATATCACCACCAAGTATACCTGGCCATGGGAAGCCCGGCCCGACCCGGCCCGGCCAGCCCGGCCTGAAAAACCCGACCCGGCCCGGCCCGACGCTGCTCCCGGGCCGGGCTTGGGCCTAGATTTTAAGCCCGATGGCCGGGCCGGGCCGGGCCCGGGCCCGTCGTTTTTGCGTTTTCTGAAGGTTGGGCCGGGCCGGCTCGGAGCCCGACGGGCTTTTACATGTACGGGCTGGGCTCGGGCCCAAAAAACAGGCCCGATGGCCGGGCCGGGCTGGGCCCGGGCCTGGGTTTTTTGCGTCGGGCTTGGCTAGGCCCGGCTTGAAGCCCGGCCCGTCCCGAGGTATGGCCAATAT